ATTATCTGAAAATACCATTGATTGAACACGTCTTTCACCATATTCATTAATGTACTAACTATCATACATTTTAGGCTACGCTCCTCCAGAATTTAGGTTCATTCTTATTGCGATAAGAGCATTATTTACCATAGCATTATGGTTTGTTGACTGATCAAAGCAAAAAACTCTAATGCATTTAGGATGCAATACCTCAAATATCGGAATTGCCTGATGAACAAGCTTTATTTATAAGTAGAAAGGAAAATTAGTAAACTTTTTTCTTTAAAAAAATAATGAATAATAAGAAAAGTACAAACCTGATCTAACATATGCTCTGATTTCCAATATCCATCTGTTTATATAGAATGAAGAACAAAAGATTCTTTATTTTTGATGTGTGAATTTGCTTGCAATTGTTCATTGAATAATTGTAATAACCCATGATATTGATAAAGAAAGGCCGAAACCATGATAGAGCGTCCAATGTGTTTTGAGCATAGAATATCCTCATCTTTGTTTATCCAAATCTTTCGTTGCCCATTATTTGCATAAAAATAGCATTCATCATATATTATTTGTACCAATTCCTTCTCTTCTGTCTTAAGCTGTGATTCTAAAACAATGTCCAACATGTTACTATCAAATTCTTTTATAGATTTCTTATATTCAAACATCCTCTTTAACCAATCCTTCCTATATATTACCACGTCTGGCCGTTCATGCCTATCATAATAAACCCCCTTTTTTTCTCATTATACTTATATCTCACAAATGCATATAAGTTTGACAGATTCTTTCAGAAATCGTGTCTTTTTTAATATGATCTGTTAATTTTGGAAAAACTGTTTCTTTATATACATTTTTAGGCTTCTAGGAGAACGTGATTCTGGTGTTTGTTTCCGTAACCACATTTAGCATTCTTCTTAAAATCCTTATCATTTAATAAGCTTTCTTACTTTGAATATTTCCCTTGATGATAAGAAAGAAGTTCTTCCATTTTTATAAAATGGGTTCCCCATTTTCGAATACAACATGCCATATAATCGCTCTTATTCTATATGGTTTGTGCAATATTATTACTGGCTTCCATCTTTCCTTATCTATCTAATAATAGTTGAATAAACCTATGTATATTTAAGCAACGTAAATAGTCATAGGTATAGAGTTTCTCATTTTCTTTTGCAGATTTTAATAATAAATATTGTTGATTTATTTCTTCTAAGCAAATATGTAAGTTATTAGATAGAAATAAAGATGGTTGTAATGGTTGTGACATAAGTGAAGAACTTTTTAAAGATAAAGATGAAGATAATCGTAATGAAAATGATTGTGATAAAGATGATTGTTTGGAATTTCTAAAAAAGGTATCAATTGTTCTCATTTTCTTTGCATTTTCTTTTAACTTCTCTTTTTTTTTTCTTTTCTCCAGGTTGTAGTCCTTGAATTTCTGATATATACTGCTCTGATACTATAATTAGCATCTTCATGCCAATGAAGAGTTTTGGTGATAAGTTTTTTTCTACATCTTTAAACTCTTTTAAATCTTCTTCTGTCCAATCATCAATAAAATCATCAATCAATTCAATAATCTCACTTTCTGAAGTATCTCTTTTAATGGTAAGTTGATCTTGAGATACATAGCGTCCTTTTTTTCTAAGTATTTGACTAACTTGCCATTGCCTTTTTGTTTTATGTAGCATCTCAAAAGTGTAATCAAATTTTAAAACGAAGATCAAAAAAATAAATAAATAAATAAATAAGTCAAAAAAAAAATCAAATCAAAAAAATACCCGAGTCTAATTAATTATGATAATTTGGGCTGGCATTAAATTATTATAATGTTGGCCCAAATTATAAAATACTTGACCAATAGAATTTTGTGCACGTGATTTGATTTTGTTTCAAATTTGGTCAATCATATGAAAATCACCTGACTTTAAATGCTTATAACTTTTTATGTAATTATTATTTTGAAAATTTAGCTAGTAATTTAATAATACTTATCATGGAAAATAAAGTTACTAGTTTATTTTTTCAAATTTTATTTTTTTAAAGTATTAAAAGATTTTTAAGTGTTACAATTTTATTTTTGAGTATAGATTTCTGGCATCATACTTGACAAGATCTAGTTTTAACGCTATATCAAAATATAGTCTATCATTTGTATCTTCTGTTTTGAGCATCCTATAATTTTGATGTCATTTGAATACAGGTGACTGTTGCCTGAATTGCGTTATAAATCTCATTACGAGAAAATTTCTGTTCAGATACACACATATCTATTAGATCACCTCATACAAAGTAATCGTTAGAATTTAAAATTCTGGATTGTTCTAGTTTTACGGGACTTAGAAGTTTTTATTCTCAATTCAAGGCAGTTTTGCTAATAGTAAGTTTTTTTGAAGGCTTCTGGATCCAGGTTGCCTATCTTAGTTTGCTCAGTAGCAGAAAAAGCTGTATGATTTTTATTTCGTATTATATAGGCATTATTACTATCATGTGTGATGAAGAGAGACATGATAGTGAAAATTTATCAGAAAAATTTTTAGATGGATATGAAAGACTATACCCTTTGATGTTAGCTTCTTGAAGTAATGTCTTTACTAGTTCAAATTCAGCTTCAGTGGTAGTATTACTTCTACTAGAGTAACTTCTGGTTTCTGTCTTTGAACCCCCAAAGAGGATTATCAATGACTTTTGATTTATCATTGCATGAGCGGATTATAAAGTCAAAGACAGTTCCATCTTTTGAGAATATTACTTTTTTTACTCATATATGAGAGCCAGTCTTTCATCGAACTTAGGTATTCCAAGTATTCGCAAGGAAAAAGATCGTTTATTTGCTAAATTATCGATAATACTATTCCCCTGAAGGAACACTGGAAGTTTTTTATGAACAAGCTTAATGAATATTGCGACCTATGCAATATTTTTAAGTCTCATACCAGTAGTCGAGATATGGTAAGACATTTTATTTGCATCACTACTGCTGGCAATGGTTATAGTTTCAGGATCTCACTTCGGGAATATCTCTAAACACACTTTTGTAACAGTACTAATAAGTAAATCTCGTATCTCTTTACCTTTAAGTTTGGGTTCAATGCTATTATATACTTCTCTTGGCAAATTGAAATTAATGATAGTATAGAGTGGCTCATCACCATCAATAATTTTGTGTAAAGAATGGCCTTCATGATCTGTGAGTACAGTCAACTCTTGTTATAACGAACTCTATGTCCTAGAACTCAACTTCACTATAAGGCTATAGTGAAGATTTTAAGAGATTTGATTGGCCAATTCGCCATAACAAGAGTATTTTTATTATATTTGTTTAAAAAATTCGTTATATCAAGAGTTCGCTATATCAAGAGTTGACTGTATAGCTTTTATTTCATCCTCATTATCTGCACTAAGGAATTGCCTTGGCCTAACACTATCATCGCAGATTTTATATAGGTATTAACCTACATCAGACGCTTTAAACCCACAATAGTATAGGACGGATACGTCAAGAAACTCTGAAAGCTCAGATTGGCTCATAGTAAAAATTTTCAGATATGTTATCTAGTATACCGTTTCAGTATAATACTCTAACAAAAAAGTTTAAAATAAAAATAAATATTATTATAACATCAAAAAGATTAACTGACCGAAGGAAGAATAATATCAATAAGCGGTAAATATATTTGCCAGTATCCCTCTAATGAAGGAATAGTTTGTGAGAATGGAAGTATGCGATCAGAAGGGTGTAGTATTCACTAGAAAAGATGTTAGTGAGCTCTATATAAACAAGATAGATGTATAAGACTGATAGTTTCTAAATATGAGTTTTGTAATTTGCATGTAAATAAGTGCTATTCGAAAGCAAATTATCACTGAAAAAAATTGGATAAGATGTCTCAGGACTGGTAGATTCCAGAAGCATTAGGAGAAGCTCTCGATAGAATGAAAATGCCTAATGATATAAGTTGATCTTAATGACTTATCAAAAATTTGACCTCATGAAAAATTTATAGAATAGTAAAAAAACTTAACAAGGATGCCGTTAGTATAGCAAACTGGCAATTTTAAAACCCTAAGAAGACATTTTTACTACTTGTCCCTATGATCCTATGAGTCCCTATAAATTTCTAAACTCTTTATCTTTTTATTTTTTTATACTATATATCGATCATACCAATTATATCAATTATATTCATGATTATAGTTACTTATAAGAGTTCTATAAAACAATCGAATTTTTTTCTAGAACTTTTATTTTTCATAGGAACTTATAGGAATATAAGGATAAGTAATAAAGAACTCAATAAATCAAACTAAGAAGTCCAAAAATAATATCAAGATTGTTCCTATAAGTGTTCCTGTGAATTTTTCTTATAGGGACAGAGAATTTTTATAGGGACGCTCAAAAATTGGCATACATACTACCTCGACCATGATCAGGCCTCAGAAGAACTTACAATATCCCATCAATATCCCTCAAAAGTAACGAAAAAGTTGCAAGAAAGTGATGAGAAAGTGATAGGAAAGTGCTCAGAACTAAAGGCGTAGTAAATTAACAAAAATTTCAGCCAGCACTATTCTATAATTTCTGGCTGTATAACTCAGCATCCTAGACATTATCCTAGGTATTATCCTGAGATGAACACTCATAATTTAAGGCGCAGTAAAATTAACAAAAATTTCTGTCAACATTATTTTATAATTTTGGTTAGATTTTTGGATATAATATTTTGGCATCCAAACTAGCATAAAACTGGTGAACTAATAGAACTTCTCTGGCATCCTGCCAGTTTCATGATAATTCCACAATAGTTCTATGACACTACTATAATACTATCATGACGCATCATGTCACTAAGTTGGATCCAAATTATGAGTTCCAAGATCGGTCAGAATTATGGCATAATGTCAGCTGAAATTAATCACAAATTTACTACACCATCTGTCACCTTTTTTTTACACTACTTCAGCATCTAGAAAAGCAATTAAAAAGACACAAAATTCTTAATATAGATCTAATTAGCAGCTGATTCAGTTAGATTTAACTGTTATTTTACACTTTTTTAAGTAAATTATGCTAGCTTATCTAATAATTATAACTATTAATCAAACTCTATTGTATTATTAATAGATGCCTTAAATTAACTTACTCTTACAAGTTCAGTTATTTTATCATTTTCACTATTATTTAATATATCTGATACATTTGCTCTTTCAGCTTTTAATTCTTTTATTGAAAAATTTATTTCTTCTGTATTTATAAATCATTTACTAACCTTTTTGACTTACTTTCTCATGTATCTAATTTAGAATTTTATACTGATGATTCATTATAAGATGTTGGTCTACCTTCAATCAAATAGGTTTAGCTTAGTTACAAATACATACTGACTCTTTAATGGTTTCTTTCAATACACTTTTCTTTACTAACATTCTATTCTCATTTTTATTAGAGTTTGCAACTCTTTTTACTACTCTCTTAACTGCCCTAAAAAATTGTAATATATCAGTTTTTATTAAGTTTACAGTTATCATCTCTCAATTCAACAAATATTACTTTTTTTCATGAGAGTCTCCAACTTTTAAATCTTTTTTAAAAATCAATAATCTTTTGCATTAGTCTTATCTTTTTGAAATAATTACTATCAATAACCTTAAAGTTTTAATGATTAAAGTCAAAGCACATATAGACAATCTCTATAATAACAAAGTAGATGCTTTATATGAAATTGTTTAGATACTATGGCCCTTATATTTAATACTTTTACAACTTTTAAAAGTTTCTACACTTATGATAGACTTTTTATTCTTATTTGCATCAGACAATTTATAAAGTACATCTACCAATATAAATACTTGCAACAATTTCTCAAACTTCATGTTGTTTCTAAACACTAATATTTATTTTAGTCCCATTAGTTTATTACATTCTTTTATCTAAATGACAATATCATATAATATATCTCACATTAGTAATAAAGAAAAAAATACTAATAATTCCTTAAAATGTTACCTATAATAGAAGTTCTCAAAATTAGATACCTATTTTTATTTTTATTTTCATTATTGTATCCTAAGTATAATGCTACTAATGAAGATTTTTATCATATATAGCTTTGTCCTATGATCTATTATGAAATGAAACTTCTTATCTAATATTTAAAAGATTTTCTTAAATTTATTACTAATGCATCTATTATTAAGATCGAAAGTCTGAACTGCTGGAAACTGTTAAATACTACTTCTTTTCTAATTTTTATCAAAGACATTATTCATAAATACCTATTTAATTTCATTTATAATAAAATTTTATATATGTTTACAGCTTTAGCTATTTGCTTCTCCTTCATGCATTTTATTTTTGAAGAAACTCAACAATTTTGAAATAAAAGATGTGTTATCAAATTCAACCTCGTAAAAGCTACAAATATCAATATTGATCGAAAAAATGAGAATTTTATCTTCTTTAATTTTGATCTTCCTTATGTCATCTCTGACAACAATAATAACTTTGATCCTATTTTCACTATAGTCACACCTCGATATAACGAAGTTGCTGATCTAGCCGATCAGGATTTCATTATAAGAATCTTCATTAATGCTATAATAAATTATACAATATATATAACAAATAATTCGTTATAGTAGATGATTACTGATTTCATTACACAAATATAATTTTACTATGATATAATTTTTCCAGAAATATTTTCACG